ATTTTACTATTTTACTACCTTATCACTTTGCTACCTATATTAAAAATCTATTTTTACTTCAAATCCATAAACACTATTCCAAAACAAAAAATATTCCCTACAGCCTACTGATAGCAACTTTTGTTTCTATTCAGAAAAATGTGCTCAAACAGGCTTTAACACACATACAGGCCTGTCGTGATCTTTGTAGACGAATCAACGCCGGGAGACAGGCATCAGGGCGTGGTAAGGACAGCCATCATAAACGTACCTGGGTTAGTTACTTCTATGGGCCATACGGCAGCCATATTGGCTTGGTAACCTCGCATTTAAGTTCTTTAGAGTGAATGAATGAAAAAATGTTCATGAACCAAGGTTTTTATTTATAGACGTATCAGAGTTAGAGGCAGTCACTTTCATGGGTCATTATCATACGGCAGCCATGATGCTGGGTAGCCTTACATTCAAGCTTCACAAAGAATCATAAACCAATTTTTTTCTCTCTTGGACATACGATAAATGTACCCCGCGCGAGGTCCCATTAGTCTGGAAATCATGTTTATGTTCTCCTTTCTTTAACGTTCATTGTTTATGGTACACTTACAGATGATATCGCCATCTTGTTGACACTCTATGAATTCGAAGCGAAGGCAAAACTGGGAGAAAGTGACGCTAGTCTGGAGTCATGCCTTCAGAAGGCAATAGCACTACCATATTGTGAAGCCAAGACGTTCGAAACTTTAGCAGGTAATTTGGCCAGGTTTTGATGCATTCATTCTGATAGAAAAATAGGTGCGCAGGTAACCAGTGAGACTTCCATATATTCGCTACTTCATTATCCTTTTCCTTCCTTTTGTAATAAAATATAATTTCCTTAGCTAGTTAAGACCCGTTTGAAAAGGAGTACTGCAGAATTTTAGAATTGTTATAGCAATCGTGTTCATCTAATTTAAATTCCTTGTGGATTGCTCTGCTAACATAGTTTCTCTTTTCGCATTGTAGCACTAGCAGTCGAACCGCCTGCCTTCTATAAAGACATCAGTATGAAGTCACTTCGCCTTGCGGTGAAGAAGCACAAGAATTCAAACAGTGTAGACTTCAACAAACTGAGGTAGAGTCTTGTTTTCAATGTATTAACAATATGTGAACGTATTATGACACCCTACCTAGTTAATTTATGGTAAAGCCAACCATGACAGAGACACAGGCAGCCCAAACAACACCCTTGAGTACTTGGTTATTGTAGTGAATGCATGGGCGTAATGTGTCGAAAAATACGTAAAATTAAAAAGAAGATTGCTTGGGCTACCTGTGCCAGAGATCGCTTAGCATTGCGCCGCATATAATAGAGCAAAGAGCCCAATCAGTTTTTCTCAATCGTTATGATAATCAATAATTCAACTATTAGATTTAAACCAGTTGCGCCTATTGAGTCTGATGTTTCATATGCCTTTTTCTATGTTTAGTAAGGTTTATCACAGTCTCATTGAGATGTCTCTAAACGCTGGTAGCAGTAGTGACGCCAACAGTAAAGAGGAGGCCTGGGGTATCTATCAGGAGATACTAGAATGTATAGATGACAATGAAAAGGTCAGAATGCAATAACAAATGGTCTAGTATCTATTTAATGAGTGAATATCACATGTGTATGAGTCTAATATGTGCAATTCTCAGTCACCGAGATAAACTAGATCTTATTCAACCTAAAAGTCTAATGCATTTAAGGCTGGAAGGCTTAATGCCTAACATGTTTTGCAACCCAATTGATAAGGAAGCCGATAGATCGAACTTAGAATTTAGAAGTTGATTTTTGTTTAGGGAGGAAAAGAATTAGTAGTCTATCATCCCAACAACTTCAAATCATTTGCCGAACATCATCCACGATAAAGTTAACTCAGTTCTACATAGTGTATAATCTCTTGCTAACAGTTTGCAATCTTGACAATTATGCGGTTTACCTTTTAACGTGATTCCTTTTCAATGTTAAAAGAAAACTTTTCAATCGACTGGTTTCAGGCAACCTACCCGGAAATGGAAGCTATATGGCTGATGACAAAAGCATGGAACTGCGGGATTCATCTATTTAGGTACTTGATTCCACGAAACGCGTTGTTATAAAATAAACATCCATTTGCCAGAAAACTACGTTACGTCCTCGCGGTAATTTTGGTGGTATTCAACAAAAAGATTGCTACTTAATCTCCTCCACCTGATGTGGAGTGAGTAGAAATAAGGTCACTGCAAAACTTAAGTGCAATGAAGCTTGCGAAATTTGACCAGGAAAAGATAAAAACATGTCCGCCATTCCAATAAAAATAAAGAACTAATTAATGCGCCACTGTTATCAACGGCTCATCAGCAACGTTTTTTTTTTCTTTTCATTTGGTGGCCTAAGAATCCATAATTTCAAAAGGAAAAGTGACGCATCAGTTTTGCAAAAGTTTTTGGATTTTGATTGACTTTTTTCTCAGATCAGCTGTCTTTGTTTATACCACCAATATGGCCGCCATGTATGTCTTTGTCATTTTAAATTTCTTTGGGATGTTCGCAAACCATCAATTAGTCTTTTCTCAGCCTGTTCTAATGTAAACACCTGTTCATTTCTCTTATCATATATAGCTCTGGTCGGCTCAAAGCTGCCGAGAAGTGGTGCGCAACAGCTATGCGACTATTGCAGCAGTTGAATGGCTTTAAAAACAACTACGAATCTAAGGTGATTACAATCATTTAGACCTTCCTTGATACTAGTGTAATAGTAGATCTATATAGCCTTGCATTGACTTTGATCGGCCAAGAGGTTGTTTCAAGGTTCGATAAAATTTCATCATCAAGTCTTTATTGAGCTAGTAAAGTCTGTACGGCATCGCATAATTTAGTCATCGTAGATAATAACTTGTCAGCGATTCTTTTAAAGCTATGGGATTATACTATTAGTTGAAGTACTTTACTACTTTTATCTGATTATTTGTAGATGACAGGTGTTTACTCCGAAATCTTAGACCGCATTGAGAGAGCCTCAGTACAAGCTGTAGTCGAGGAATAGAGACGAATAAGAACTTAAAACTTGGTATACTTTTCTTAAAATTCTCACTGGCTTGAGTAATTTAATTCTTATATACATACTTTAAAATTTCTCGTCGTCCAGGCTTACCATTACCAGATTGTAAAGTATTTTACCCTCTCAAAACAAAGTTTGTTCATTCCTCACTAACTCACGTCTTTTTCTGTAATGTGAGTTACTGTCAACCTGTGCGCAGAATTAACGTTAAAGTTGGTATGAAAGATGCGCAAATAATAAAATATAMATGTAATGCTGGTATCGGGTATCTTTTTCCTTATTTGATTAAATGCCTGATCTGAGGTTCTCTTTCAAGTGGAAAATGGATCATAATGTTTTCCTACGGGATCCGATCGTATATTTTCTCGTGTATCAGTTGTTGTGTTCGATGAATATATGTGTCTTCGTAATTTGAAAACGGCGCATCACATATAATGTTTTCCTACGGGATCCGATCGTATATTTTCTCGTGTATTAGTTGTGTTCGATGAATATATGTGTCTTCGTGATTTGAAAACGGTACCACCAACGGTACCAACTGTACCAACGGTACCATTGGTAAGCCCTGAAACAGGGGGATGCAAGGTTTGGTGTCTTATGAATATTTATGTTTACCAAAGGGTGACCAGTTCTAATATGAACACGCAAGCTTTACCAAAGGGTGACCAATTGAACTGATTGACGCGTGCATCTGAATTTTGATGACYTTGATAATGAATTCGTGAATCTTTCATATTAATTACTTTCACCAACTGTACCGATGGTAAACCAGCTTTTACCATCCGTATCAGTTCGTGTATTCTGGACATGTATGTTTCCTTTTGAATATCCTTGTCACCAGTGCACGTGCCTTTATTTTTTAGAATGATGGAAATATCCCATCCAAGGTTCACGTTCAAGTCGAAAATGGATCCTTTTCCTTTTTAATATCCTCGTCACCAGTCCACATGCCTTTTTTAGAATGATGGAAGTGAAACATCTTGAATTCTCGCACGCGTTCGTACTCCATACCAGCCCCCACGACCCTCTCCATTATATCCCAGTCTTCTCCACCCCATTTGTTTTTAAACTTCTCTTCGTCTAGACCACCAATTCGATCCCAATCTGACTTGTACATGGCTATCAGGCCATACCCTTGTTGTTCCCAGAAACCATTRGGATCCACTGGGGAGTGGCCGGGGCTTAGTCTGATGATGACTGGAGAGTAGACGCTTCTTCCCTCGAAACAATGCTACCAGAATAAAGAAAAAGTCATTATAGTAACGTTAAACCATAGGCAGCCTAAACTCTACCAAGAATGACAAATTATTGTTAAAGGAGGGTGGTATGCTAGGGGGTAGGACGCCCACAATAAACTAACAATAAGTTACTTCGTGTACATCATAACATTTTTTCCAAAAAAAGTGTTCCTAAGTTTCCATACGCATGTATGACAAAAGAAATAAATTGTTGTTAATCACTTTGATAAACTAAAGGATACAACATTACAGAGATCAGCACTTCGGCAAGTAAGTCAGGTTCGTACTTATATTGACCCATTTATCTCGCTTGAATGTCAAAGTCAATTGAAACCAAAGCTACTTACATTTTTTTTCTTCTTTTTTTATCAAAATTAATTTATTTATTTATTCAACATGCAGCTTATATATATCTTTAAAGTTTGTCAATAAAATTCTATTCAGTTCACTTTTTTTAACAATAGCCCTACCTTTCTAACTTCGTCGAATATRGTATTCGGTATCTCCAAATGCAAGTCCAAAGTAAATACAATAGTATGAGGATCTTTAACCATTCTAACTGCTGCGTTCATCGACTGACAACGAGAATACGTCCCTGGTTGTCTGATGATCATGTGAGGGGGCAACTGACGCGATTTCATTTCTTCATCTAAGTCAATATCATTGCTTTCGTAATCAAACACGATCAGACTGGCATTCTTTTYACCGGTACTGACATAGATTTCTTCCAGATTGTCTAAAAAATGCCGCATCCAAACGCCTTGATTTCGTATGCTCATTATGATAGCTATCTTAGCTTGTCGTTGCCATTGGAGATTTCCTGGGTAGYACAGAGCTTTAGAGGTTAAGTTCTTGTAGATGTACTCGGAAATGACACAGGTGGATTTGTTGCTGTGGTTTGTAACGTTAACTTCGACGAGATATCTTGCTCCTTTGTCATTATCTTCCTTTTTTTCGACTTTTATGATATTGTTTACCTTGTACACTCTGAAACATGGAAGTTTATAATGGTTGAGACAGTTGTGCAGCCGTTTTCTACTGCTCTTTCGTGGATCCCCCAAACCCAAGCTTAATTGGTTACTATAAATAGACGTCACTTCCGGTAATATCTGTGTTTGAGGGAAACTAACAATTGAAGTAAGCAATWCATTTATATTAATTCCGTCGAACACGTTGGGCTTGGTGTGTATGCAAAGTCACTCGACCTAGAAACTAGTGATTTAAAGCCCTTTAAGAAGATATTGAAATGGAAATTAGGAGAATTTTCCAAACTGATATACACCTAATTCRAAAAAGGGCGTCGAAGCCAAAAGAGACTAGGCGATAGGCGTATATTAATATAGTATATGACAAGGATGTAACTGAAGTTTAATTAAGACTTGTAGGTGTAGACAGCATTTCTAAGGGAAGGGAGGGGGAAGGAAAGCGGGGTCTGGGTCCGATCCGGTCCCTTTAGGTTTTGAACCTTTTCATTGGTCTGGGTGGCCAAATAATGCCAAAGGAGGGTTACCCCCATGTCCACGCCCCTTAGTCAACTTACCCGGGATATTTCTTCTCTACTTTATTCATGTACTCTTTCACTATGCTATCAGCCTCTTTGTACTCCAATGGATAGTCCTTATAGAATTGTAGTCCGGAGACTTTTGGATAGACAATCCATGGATAACAGTAGGTAGGTACGCGATATTTACGTATGAAGTACCATTGTCCTGCTGGTAACGGTCCTGCTCGGTTTAGATATCCAGGTCTATAAGGACAGACAGGCAAAGCATCCTCTAGCTCTTTATGCTCGACATAACTGGGCCTATCTATGGTGAGAGTCCTTCCTGTCCTAAGGTGATGGTGTTCAGCCAACCCAGTACATGCCTCACTTCCAAATATACCACTTCCAATTCGCACGGATGCGTTTAAAGACCCGTTATTAACCAATGTTGTACTTCTATAATCAATAATTGTGAAATTAGTAGCCTCAGGCTGGAGCCAAGCAACTTGTAGAATATCATTAGCACCGCTCTGCATATGCAGAACCTCAAGATAATACTTTTTCCCCTTTTCTAAATACATGGGTTTTGATTTCTGCAAGGGGTATTTATCAAATTCTCCTGCGCTTGTCCAAACGAGGTCGTCACCCTTGTCCTCTACAGAGCATATCTTGACTGCATCTTGCCGCTTGCTACACTCCTCACGTAGCCAGACTTCTGAGTTATCATCTGATGCCACTGCAAATGTGTGCATGCCTGAAACMGAGGGATGCAGATAACCGAATATTTGCTGAGCAAAATAGTTTTCCTTCCGTTGTACTTCCAACTTAGCTATAATAGATATTTCGCTTGGACCCTTGGGAAATAACGGATGGTTGCAGAGCGCCTTTAGATTGGGTAAGGCAATCCCGCGCCAAAAATGAAYTTGAAGACCTCTACCTTTCGGGACGTCGGAGTTTTCCTGCGGGATTTCGTTGTTCGTGTTCACCAGCTTTATCTTTCGTAAATGATCTTCATCTCTTATATTACCATTTTTATGGGATTTAATATCGGAGAATAAATAATCTGTTTGATTATTTACTGAAACATTTACTAAACCATCATTCGGATTAATCAAAATCTTCGTATCTTCACTACTTTTCCTTAGCTCCTCCTTCAAGCCGCTCCCGGAATTTCGCTCTCGACTTTCTTCAGCTTTTTTCATGCCGTCTTCTCCTTCTTGAAAATCTTCGAAACTTTTGTTTGTATTTCCAAAGAGTTCACTAAAATTGTTGTATAATTCGAAATCTCTTGATTGCCACCAATACTTCTTGTGAAAAACAATCGATAACGTAAAATACAGAGACAAGGCTGCCAGAACGATTAACGACAGTTTTTGTAATTTTCTTCGAGTTAATATCCCCATCAYGAAAGAAAAAATCTTACTATCAAAGAAGACAGACTTTGTGTTAAAGGACAATGATCGTTAGACAGTAATCAAACGAAGAAGTAAATAATTATTTTAATGGACAGACAGTCTATAGGTTTTCCTGCTAATTGATTGGATGAGGGCAGGGACCAATTGAAAGCTAATGTTGATCTATTACACGTTGTTGCGTTCTAATGAAAAAACCTTTGAAACCATAGCAACAAATTGAGCATATACATGAGCACTACAATAATTAGTTTATCAAAAAAAAAAGTCGGCCAAAATTGCATTTTAACAAAACAAAATTTTTTGTCAAATTTCTAAAAAGTTATATATTTGTTATAGTTTYAGTGCAATCTAATTTAGCATATACCAACTTGTGTACTTCCTAAGAACGCGCGCGCTCATTGGTTAATTGGAGGTGAATATTGTACGATATTCACCTCTAAATCGCGCAATATTGAGTCGTTTTGCTACAATTTCCGATGAGGAAATTGAAAAAATGAAAGTAAACGCCATTCCTATCAATACTAAAAAGGCAACGAAGTATGGCTCAAACGTTTTGCTAAAAGTTTTGCTAAAAGTTTTACGCGAATTTGTCACGAAAACTAAAAGTTTCAATTTTTCGCCTCAGGCTCAGTGAATATGGAGAATATTTACCTCGCCGCTAGAAGACTCGCGTCTCGGTAAATATTCGCCGATATTCACTTCGCCTTTGGCGAATATTCGCTTTGATGCGCGGCAAATCTCGACTTTCAACTCCTTTCTCTTATAAAACAAATATCTGAAAATTTCAACCAGGGCCCGATTGTACAAAGGGTGGATAGCGCTATGCGACGRATAAATCTTATTGGATAACAGCATCGACTTCTAATCCACTAGATAACGATTTATCTGTCGGATAGCGCTATCCACCCTTCGTGCAACTGGGCTAAGGCCAAATAACGGCTATTTCAAGGTTAAAAATTATATGTAATAAAAACTAAACTCTGGCTTGTTTTAAATCTATTAAATCACTAAATAATTTACATGAATTAAGTGTTAACGAAATATAATGCAACTACAGCAATAARTTATAGCAAGCACGTACATGAGGTGTTACAAAAACAGCTGTAGTCCCGGCTGTAGTCGGAAAATTGAGTCAAATCACACACGAAAAAAAAGTTTATTCTTCCAGTACATTAATAAAAGGAAGATAAATAGATGTTATATTGACTCGGGCCTAGTTTAGAAAATTCCTCGGAACGAAATGGGGTTACTAGGAGATTGGCGATTYCCAAAACGTCTTGACATGACTGGCACGCTATCCTTGATCCTTGATTCCCCAATTTTGATCCACAAAGGTCAAACATGAGAAAGTTTGCCAAGTCTGGAGTCTTTTCTTTAAGATTAAGATACTATGACTGGATTAAGGGTTAAGAGTCAGGTCAAAAGATGTTGAAAAATGTTTTTCAGCCACTTCCAATTGATTTTAATGAATTAAAAGCATAAAATGTTTTTTAAATAATTATTATAATTATTACTGTTATTTTTAGCAGATTTTGGAGGAGCTCCCTGGGTACCTTAAGGACACAGAAATAGATTCTCATGTAAAAAAAACCCCTAAAGTGCAGTTTCTATGAGTCAATATATGGGGTCATGTGCTTCTTTGGAAATTACTAGAATTCCTAATATTATCGACGAAAGCTATTTAAATCCTATAAGTGTTTTAACATCATTCATCGTAAATATATGGGGGTATATGGGGTATAATATATGGGGTCATGTGCTTCTTTGGAAATTACTAGAATTCCTAATATTATCGATGAAAGCTATTTAAATCCTATAAGTGTTTTGACATCACTCATCGTAACGTCGGCCAACTCGCAAGCTTTTGCAGCCCCCTTCTYGAGTATCTCTTCTACATACCAATCTTGTTGTGTCAGCTTTTCAATTTCCTGCCTCACTGGACTTAATTTTTGTACTATTAAATCTGTAAGGTCTTTTTTGAAAACTGATTTAAACCGTTCAATGTTTTGATACCTGGAGCAGATAGTCTCCATGGATTCCTCGCTCAAGGCACAGTAGATGTCAATCAAGTTACTCACCCCAGGCCTACCCTCTGGGTCATAGCTGATGTGGTTGTCAGAATCRGTGATGGATTTCTGGATTTTTGATTTGATGGTATCTGGGGTGTCAGAGAGYTCAATCCGTGAGAAGTGGTTGGGGTCTGATTTACTCATCTTTTTYGTGGCATCCCGAAGGCTCATTACTCGTGTCATTTTACCTTGAAAAAAAAAGAAGAAAGAAAAGAGATAAAGGTCAAAGAATGTAAAACAAGAAATAATTATTGTGTAATATAAATGTCTACAAGCCTTTAAGCTAATGAGCCTATGATGTTCTTGCCCTCTGMCAGTAAATGAAAATGCCTGGCCAAAACCAATATAGTTGTTTGTTGATTGGTTAATACAACGACAAATATGAACAGAAACTAATAAACAAATAGGCCTATGCAAGGGCCCCCTTTTATATGGCAGGGCATACTGGCAGAGTTTGCAATGTTGCAAGTTTTGTTTTTAATCAAAATATTGWCCCCACCACCCCTCCCTCCACTGTTTATCAGASTGTGACRRGTATCAGGTAAYGAGCTGTGRCCCAGTTGCCATGGTTCCCTTGATGGTTGGGCGTGGTCTGGCACCATCAACCAGGATCCCAGTACCGAACCCCCAAACTTATCTTAACAATGAGTTTTAATAGTGCTTACCTAGAATAGGTTGTGGTGATGAAAAGAATCTACCATACGAATTGTTAAAAATACGAGCAAGTTCTCTGGCTAATTCTAGATGTTGTAACTGATCGTCACCCACAGGAACATGAGAAGCTCTGAAAAACCAAACAAACAAAGTGAAATAGCACATTTGCATGATGTTGTCATTTGATCATAGATAATAGCTACCTTAAGATTATTAAAATCTACAACAGTGATGTCCACCAAAAGTGTAAATAATTTCTCTTTGGGGTTCTATTAATTGGAGATTTCTTTCAAAACATTGTCAGTAAAGTAAACTCATYAACAGTGAAGACAGGTTTTAAAGGCATGAAATTATAAAGTGAAGTTATTTACACTTCCGGTTGATGTTGCMATTGTAGATTTTGAAAATCTTAAGGTCACTAATATCTTTAACTGGGCCTTTAAGGATACAAATTCCTTTAACTTGTTTCTGATTCCAATTTTGAAGGGCACATTTTTATCTTTCATTATGTAAATAAAATAGACCTTTTCAGCTTGGGTGTAATCTTTCCCCATTTCAGACCATGTGTCATTCCCTAGAGTATCATTTCTTTGTTCAACAGTTGGGCATGAGAAGACACATGATTATGATTACATCTCAAACATCTTTTTTTTTGGATTTTCATCTAATTTTTTCACCAACCTCCTTACCCAAAATTCTAGATCTACCATTGAATGGCAAAGCTATATCTGTATCATACCTGTATAARAGAATATCAGCACCCATGAGGACAGGGTATGCATAAAGACCAAGACATTGCTGTTCTTTACTTCCTTCAGTTTTGCTCTAGAAAAAGAGTTGTGGAAAAACATAAATGTTACAGTGGACCTAGCTTTGCAAGTACCCTTCAAAACTCCAATAGAACGTTTTCTCAAGGTTGCGTGCGAGCCCAATAAGGAATTTGATAGGCTACAATACCAGAACACAAGTATTATAATGCATTGCTATGGATTTTTTTGGATGAAAATTCATAAAATCCATTATTCTCCTCTTTAAATATAAAACTGTCTCCTCGATTTTACTGAATTTGCATTTTTCAGTCTTGTGGCCTATCAAGTTGATGCGCACGCATCCTTGAGAAAACGGTCTATAAGGTGCTATTTCTATTTTTTTAAATAGTTTCAGGAGTTGCAAGAACCAATAAAAAAAATCTTCGGTTTTCAAGAGTAAATCTTGATAGTCATTCGCTTATATAATCAGTCTCTGACGTTAAACCATTTTATGTGGTCATTCAAGTCATGGTGAAGGTCTAACCAATCCAAGATATTCTTAGAGCATAGGCAGCACCTTCTTCTAAAATATTTTAAGATCCGGAGTTTTGGTCCAGCTGGAGTTTAAACCCATGAGTTCTTGAACATCAGGTCAGTGCCCAACCAACAAAGCCAACAAGGATGGGGTATACTGTTTTCTTTGGATGTACATGGACTTAGGAAACTGGACTCAAGTGGGAACTCTGCCACAATGACACTACCCATGATTCTCAAGAAGCATTTACTTATACAAGGTCTTGGTATATTTACCTTCCATTGATGCATTCTGTTAAGAATCCCAAGTGGTGTTATACAACTGAGTATCCATGCCAACTCGGCATGTTGGGATACCTACAAAATTTGCAAGAACAAATCTCTCAACTGCAAGTTGGCATAAAAAATAATCTTGAAAATCAATGAAATGTAATCTTCTTAATTTGTAAATGTAACTAGATTTTTTTTGGAATAAGAAAAACTACATACATGTATTATAAGTAGTGTATGCACGAGGACAAGTATTACAAGTAAATGCTAGCTTTGTGGCATGTAATCAGATATATATTTTTGAGGTAAGAAAGTATATAAAAAATAGAAAACTTCAGTCACTTTTGAAACCAGTGGAGGACGTTACGGCTGCATGTTAAGGTGCTATTAGCAGCCGTGCAGCTTACAATCATGAGTGATTTGTTAGTACATAAGTGTTATGCCTCCAAATTGGGATAGGCTGTTGAACCAGGAGATAATCCCCTACTCTTACACAAATAATTCAACAGGTCCTTTTATGTCCCCCATTTTACTGCAGCTTAGGAAGGGTTGGGAGACAGGGCCTACAGTTTAAAGCRCTTATCCAGAAGACTTGTAGGTCTAACCATTTGCAGATATTATTACAAAGGGGTCATGTGTAATTCCTTGGAATAATTTGTTTGAGCTGTATTTATATGATTCAATTTATGTCTTCTCATGTGCAACTGTAAAAAAAGAAATTATACTCAAGCCAATGATATSTTGCCTAAAATGGGAAAACATTACGCCCAACCCAGAAGGTCTTGATAATACCTCAGACTGCTTAAAAATAATACTTCGATCAGGATCCACACCACAAGCTAACAGACTTATAGCCATGTTCTTAACACTCTGYTTCAATTCTTGAGGATCCTGAGGTGTGGTAATGGAATGAAGGTCCACTATGCTGTACAGAATCTCTGCTTCACATGTGTTTTGTAAMTCCACCCAGTTTTTGATTGCACCCAGGTAATTCCCAAGATGCATTGTACCAGTTGGTTGAATTCCAGAAACAATTCGTCTGATCTCTTTGCTATTTTTATTGTTGTCGTTGTTGTCGTTAACCTGGAAATGAGAATAATTGGGTCTGAGAAGGGTATATTGTGTGGTTACATAAAATATCCAAACCTCCCCCACAGAGGGGGATWGGATTTTCCAAGGGGTTGGGAGAGTCTGAGGAGAGTATATTGTGTAGTTTTAAATATATCCATACCTTCCCCACAGAGGAGGAATTGGAATTTCCAAACAGTGGAGAGGGTCTGAGGAGGGCATATCGTAAGTTTCAGAAAAAAGTAAGGATTGCGGACCACCCTAGAAATTGGGAGGGGGGTGTCAGAGGGGGGTGTTAGATTGGAAAATTTTAGAGACTATAGTATGGGAAAAGGTAAACTGACCCCCCCCCCCCCCCCGTTTCCGCGGTCCCTGCCTAGCATTTACCTCCCATGGGTGGAGGTGTGGATCTTTTTTGGCTTGGAGGTTGGAGTCCTAAATATAACTGTAATATACACAACTGCATATATAGCACRTAGCTAGAATAGATAACTAACTGCATATAGAACAGAATATTTAACAGTTTTGCTTATRTACTAAAAACAAATGGAAAAGAAAGCGAAGCACGCGGAAATGCAGATAAATTTAGCTGCGAATTTAATACCTCATTATGGCTGGCACACTTGAATRTCGAAGAAACTTCTCTTCCACGAACCAAGAAATGTCCTCTCCTTTGAAGAAATCTTAAAATCTTCATAATCGAGTAAAATAAAATACATTAAAATTTAGTTTTAATTTGAGTGAAAAATTCCGCGCGACATTYTGAAGTTTTTAACTGCGCAGCAAGTGAAAGACTGGGACGAGTAGCGTGCCCGCACTGCATTGTYGACACAGGAAGCCCAAGCTCTTTATCTGTTTGATCCAACGTTTTATCTGGATCTTTCATGAAAAACACAAAAGTAGCAGAAATAGCTTAAAAGTCGTTCTTCAAATTAGCTATTGCGATAAGAAATAGCTTGAAAGRCATTTTATATAACTTTCAAGGCTTTTCATTAAAAACTTTCCTCATTATCGGCTTAGAMATTTATGAATATTACGTTTTAATGTGGTGCAGGGGTACAGCTTTACCTKTACATATTAGAGTAATAGATATAAAATATGAACAAAGAGACAAATAGATAAACTTAATTGTTAGGTAGTAACCATTGAGTGGGCTTCCTGTGCTGTGGTATGTGGGTGGAAGATACCGCTGTACTGTACAGCACGCGCAATGACGTGATGGATCCAGTTTTGGAACTGACTTTGCTGATAAAAACAGAGGTGATCGCTGGAATTACTTCATCGTTTTGCTAAGATTACGTAAAATCAGCTGCTATCTACGCTTTCTAGACTTTATCAAGAGATTTTTGAATACATCTAGGATACGAAAATGTCAGGCCAAATGGAAAGTATCCTTTTTGTAGCTTATAATTTTGTACTAAATTTTTAGTGTTTACATGTTTTGAAATSTGAAGCTAGTAAATAATTTTCGAAGGTAGACTTATGGTTTCTTATGGTTTAACCTTTATGAATCAAGGAAAAAATATTTTTTCAGTCTTCTAAAACTTATAGACAATGTATTTACTTGTTGTAGGCTATGTTTATTTCTTTTTTTTGTCTCAAGCTCAGACTTACAATTTTTGTATTGGTCGAGTTTCCCCTTTTTTGTTGACTCCACTTCTGCTGTACTTGTTATTTCCTTGTTGTTTTCCTTAACTACTGAATTCTACTTGAAGAACATTTATTTAATCTGAAGGTAAGATTTTTGAAAAATATAGAATTTATAATCTAAACAACAGTAAATTATGATCAGTTGTCAGAAATGCACAAAGAGTAGGTCAACTTAAAGGTTGTGCATGGCCAGTTGTCTTTGCAACATGCAATATTCAGTGCTGGTACACAGTGCATTTGTAAAGAACAATTTTCCTGGTAACAGTTTAAAGGAATTTCATATACATTTAAAAGGAAGCACAGGCAGTGTGTGCTAAGGATTAGCTCTGGTGGTGCGCGCTGCAAATAAAAATCTATTACATGTAAGCTTTAGCTGTTGTATCACAGCTTGGAACCATCACAACAGAGCTACCTGTAGGCTCCAACTATGTGAAAGCCCAAAGATCAAATTGGAATTTATAAGTTGATTTTTTTATGGAGGGAGGAAAAATGGATAACCTGGAGAAAAACCCTCAAAGCACAGGAGAGAACCAACAAACAATTCTACTCACACATGATACTGAGACCGGCAGGACTTGAACTCCGGTCACATCAACAATTGGTGAGAGGTGGCACATTAGTGTGGACGCTACCATGCTTCTCTAAATGTGCTGCCTTTCACCAATGTAACCCAGGGTAAATTCTCACTCGGTGTGGTATGAGAGTAGAGTTGTTTGGTTTTCTCCTGTGCTTTGAGGACTCCAGTTTTGTATCCCTTCTCAAAAATAATTAACTCCTAAATTCTAATTTAATCTATCAGTAGCCTTATTAAATGGGTCATAAAACTTGTTTGACTCTCCATCCACCTTGGATTCATAAATTCTATTAGGTTTTTTAGATTTTTAGAAATATTTAATAATAGAGATCAAATACGTTATCATGGGGGGAGGGGGGAGGAGTATGAATTTGAATAGGGGGAGGATGGGAGGGATGGGCTTTTATATAAATGCAGCCTTAGAAAATATGGTTTAAAGAAGGGAATGAATTTATTGTTCTTGATCTATATGTCAAGTCCATGTTATGTCTATTATATTTATGTTACTGTAAATTGCTGTCGTGTTATATCAGCTCTCTATTTAAACTAGCCTTACTRAACTAGATGTGCCTGTATAAATATTGACTTAGATAAATAAAAAAATAAAATAACAGACTAAATTTCTTCAATTTAATTTCAGTTTGCTGCAAAGA